TTTCCGTGCTTGCTAAAGCAAAATTTCATCCTGACGATAACCTAATTTTCCATGATGCCATAAAAAGGTTCGATTCGCCATGCTTAAAAAATGACGTCAGATTCTTAAAATTCCCGTTCTTCTTCGGTTGCCAAGTTTTTGTTTTTGTTTTTGTTTTTATTTTGTTTTTGAGAACTCTTTTTATAGGGAATTGTTTTTGAGAACTATTCTGTTGTCAAGTTCTACATTTTACCGGCGCGGGGTTCTAAATGGGCCGCGGCCCACAAGGCCTAGCTGGGGCATCTCTGCTCTCCTCTTTCTCTCCAGTCTCCCACTCCCCTCTGCGCCACCATAAACTTCGCCGCCGGATCCGAGCCCGTTCGCCGCCGCAGGCCTCGGCTCTCACCCGGACCTTCCAATCTACTCCGGCAGTACAATCTAAGCTTCCTTCCCTCGCGGGTATCGCTCGGCGTAGCCAGCAGAAGAGGTCGCCTGGTCGGCACAGCAGGGCCCAGGCGAGTGCGGCGTGGCGTGCACTCGCCGGGCTGCCGCGGCAGAGCGGCAACGCAGGGCACGCGACCAGGCGGCACGGCAGGTGTGGGATGCGGTTCCTCTTCTCTAGCTCTCTGCCGATGATATCTGAGTTTTCCTTTTTCGTTCGGTCAATGCACCAATGCAGTGTTCATTAACAGAAATACCTCCTTGTGAGTGGAAATTGTTGCCTTTGTGGAGCTTACTAATAGTGCGAACTAGACCTCATGTGCATATATTGACACTGTTATTGCATAATAGTCGCCACACCTCATAAGATTTGTCCCATGTGTGTGATTGATTGCTTCAACACCATGAAATGCTTAGTGAAAATGCCTTACTTATGCAGCATTATGCCGCGGCTTGCTCCTTTCTTGATCCACTCATCCATAATTAAATGATCCTGTATTTACATCAGAAATACTTCTACCGGTAGTTGTAGTTTTTGGGATGGGACCACAAGTGTATCTGGTTTCATTTTGTTTTTCTTGCTTTTTTTCAGGGGATCACAGGCTTGCAGTTTTCTTAAGCATTCTAACTCTATTATGAATCCATGACTTGCACCTTGGCAGCATAGAATGATTCTGTAATCATGTAGTTGCCTCCATGGCTCTTAAGGTTGCGTCTTGCATACGGTTTTCAAGACTGCGCCTGTTGCCGAGCAGGCTAACATACTGCTCTGTCTCGGATGTGCCTGCTTCTCGTGCTTCCGGGGTTACAGCGGGGTCCACTGAGTTCGAATCTGCAATCCGGTTGCTCAAGAACAACAATCTCCGGCCAGAGATACTGACCCGCATTCTTGATTCTACTTCCGATTTGAACTTGGCCCTTCGGATATTTAAATGGGCATCAAGTCAGAGGATATTTGCTCATACGGCTGACACATACGCCTGCATGATCGCCAAGCTCGGTGTTGTTGGGAATTGTGATGAGATGGACAGCCTCCTAAAGGAGATGATTAAATTGAATGCCCCTATATTGGACAAAATCTTGAACGATTTAGTTCAGTTCCTGAGCAATAAGAACCGTTGCGATGAAGCCTTGCTGGTGATTCAGAATGCTTGCTCTGGGAAGCTCAAGATCTCAGTGTCATCTTGCAATGCTGTGTTGTGTGGTTTAGTCAAGGAAGGGAGGGGTTTGCGACCATTCATCCGTGCGTACATGGAGATTGTGAAGGCGGGAGTCTTTCCTGATGTGGATACCTTGAATTGGTTAATTGAGGCTTTGTGTGAAGCTGGCAAATTAGACCTGGCGCTGATTCAGCTTGACAGGATGAGAAAGAAAAGGTGTAATCCTAATAGCCGCACTTTCAAGATACTCATAACAGCACTTTGTTCTCACGGCAGAGCAGATGAATCAATAGAAATTTTTGAGGAGATGATGCGGCTGAGATGCATCCCTGATAGCTGCTTTTATGTTCAAGTGCTGCCCTTATTTTGTAAGTTCAATAAACCCAAGGAGGCAAGTAAGTTGTATCAAATGATGAAACAAGCCAGCCTTCAGTTGGACCTACATTCTTATGGTGCCTTGATTAAATGTTTGTGTGAGAACCAACTATTGGATGATGCCGTCATGACATTTACAGAAATGATAGCATCAGGTCATGCACCAATGACGAATACCTATGTGAATGTTGTAGATTGCTATTGTACATTATCCCAGTTCCACAAAGCTGTGAGTTTTCTTGAGGAAAATGATGTCGCAGAAACAGAGCCATATAATGTACTGTTGAGAGAGTTATGTAAAACAGGCACCCTGCGAGATTTAGTTAGCTATCTTGAGAAATTTCGTGCAAGGGGGCTGGTTGATTGTCATTCATGGAACATAGTTATCACTCAGTTCTGCAATGAAGGGAACATTAGAAGAGCATCTGAGCTTATTGGTAGGATGACAGTTTCTTCTTTTACAGCTGATGAGCGTACTTATTCTTCTGTTGTATCTTGTTACTGTCAGTTAGGTTTGTACAGGACTGCCCTAGATATGTTCAGAAGGGCCAGTGTTAGTAATTTGGTACTGAATTCAGAGTCTTTCTCGCAACTGGTAGAAGGTCTGTGCCACATGGAGCGGATCAAAGAAGCTGCAGAAGTTTTTAAATATCACTGCAAAAGAGGTTGCAGCCTTACCAGGGAGGCGCTTGATATACTGATCCAGGGGAGTTGTATGGCTGGAAAGATACGTGATGCAATCAGAATGCGTTCACTAGCTGTTTGCAGTGGCACTTCTTGCACATTTTCAACTTATAACACAATTATCCATGCACTACTGCTTTTGAAGAAGGACAAGGATCTGTTGCTTCTCCTTGCACAGATGCTGATGGAAGGTTGTCTATTGGACAACTACACATACAATGTTCTTGTGCGTTGTTTCCTCACCAAGGAGACAATTCTTGAGGCTGCTTTGTTGTTCAACAAAATGGTGAATGATGGCTTTGTTCCTGACCAAGAGACATTTGAACTATTAGTCCCTGATATGGCCGTGTTTTCGTTACTAAGCAGGGTTTCAGAAAGTTTACTGAAAGTGGTAAGTATAGATGGAATGGCAAGCTCTAGAATTTATAACATTATCATTTATGGCCTTATCAAAGAAGGCTTGAAGAGTGAGGCATGTAAGTTTTTGGATCAAATGCTAGACAAGGGATGGGTACCTGATTCAAAGACGCATCGTGTGTTAGTTGGGACAGTTGATGGAGAGGAGGCTAGAGAAGTTGACAATTCCTTCCAAACAGCTGATGATGACACTGTAAGTAATATACTGTTGGAGGGTCTAGAATGAGAGTCTGGAACAAAACACTATTTCTCCATATTGTGTGCGGTAGTATTACAGGCCAGGGAGAGACTTTTCAAGTTTTCAGGCGGTTACGAATATGTGTTGAGATTAAACGTTGGATGCTCAAGCAACTTCAGCTCTGATACGAAGGTTGTTGAAACTCGGAATATCTGCAGCTGGCGAGATGGTGAGTGACTAATGTTCTTTATAACATCATGCGGTTTTCACACATTCGTTGATGTTGTTGTCTAGTGCTCTATATATTTGGTTTATACTTATTACATTTTGTGAATGTACTCCTTCCGATCCAAAAAAAATGTTGTGGCTTTAGTTCAAATTTGAACTAAAGCCACGACACTCTTTTTGGATCGCAGGGAGTACTAAATATCCTTGCTTAAGATACTGCAAACATATATATGTTTTGCTCAACAATAGTATGTGGACATAAAGTCCCTGCGAAGAAGATATTCTGATCGGGATGGTACTTCAACCTGATCAGAATATCTTCTTCACAGGTAGGTATGGTGCCATGGCGTGATTGCGTCGTCAGCTCAGCGGAGAGACGGTACGGTGGTGGAAGGAAGATAGCAGCAGAGGAGAAGAAGTTTTGAACAGTGTTGGATAAACGATCACAGTGTGAAATAAAGGGCACTTCGGGCTATACGGAAATGCAGTGTTAAAATCCACTGGCACACAGAAATTTCGGGCGACTTGATGAATAGCTGGCCTCTTTTCTCTATCACGCATGCGCGTCCCTCAAGGAAAAAGACACTGTCAGTGCCAGATTTTTCACATGAAGCAAAAAAAAATCTCCCATATCGCTTTTTAGGCCCCGTTTGGAACGAAGGAATTTTGCAGGAATTTCGTATTAATGGAATCCTATATGAAAATTTTCCCATGTGTCCTTTGGATTGTAGGATTAGCTTTGAAAATTCCTATAGGATTTTCCCCTTTACTTTATATTGTTTTTTAGGATTCTAAATGCTTGCTCAAACCTCATTTTTTCACTTCCTTTGAGAAGTCCAATGTAACATGTGTCTTTATCTCTCCTTTCCTCTCCTAAAGAAACAATTCCTGCAAAATTCCTGTGGAGCATCCAAACAACCATGTTGTATAATTCCTGCAATTTAGAATCATGCAGGAATCTACAAGACATGACTTGCAGTTCCTGCACTTTTCCTCGTCCCATGTTTACGGGGCCTTATTATGCATGCATGGGATCTTAGGAAGGGATCAACCAGCAAAGCAGAAGCACTCCACTCTACGTTTGCGAGGAAGAAAATTAGTTTAGGCGCGAGGGTCGAGAAAGGTTAAAGCTATACTGCATGCTTTGATTATTGTGTTAATCTGGAGACAACAGGGAATTAATCTACCTAACCCATGTCTGCACATAATCAATCTGCTGACTTAGTGTAACTTGCTGGAGGCTGATCAATCACGTAGATCAAACAAAATACCGAAGGTCCGAAGCCAACTTCACACTCCATCTTAGCTAGCCTAAATTATTTTGCGCACACGAATCTTGCTGCCCCACGCTATGCATCCATGGCGCTCGAACCCGGTACAATCTTCTTGACTAAGTCATTCGCTGGATCGCACACGAGGTTAATCTGGCAAACGATATATAGTACATCCGGGTCGCATAGCCCCTGTACGCACCATCTCTAGTTCAGTGCTTACAGTACAGGTTGGTGACCGCGAGCTTGATCCGTCCGGATTAGTTGATGGATCGCCGTCATCACTCCATCCAGCTCAGTGCGGGTCCTGGCGATGACGGCCTGATGAGCTCCAAGCTGTACCTTGCCGTGTGCGGAGGCAAAAAGGAGGAGGCCATGGCGCTGCTTCTGCAACTAAACACTGGCGCCCATGCTGTTGATCAAGTCTCTGGTAAGGCTGCTCGTTCCTTACACAGAGTTGAGAGTTTTTTGAATTGATTTTGGTACCCAGTGAGCTGACATTTCCAATGAAATTTCATTCAAAATGCATGGGAACCCATATGTTTGAATTGTTACTCTCAGGTATACACCAGGTCTGCGCGGAGAGGAACAATGTTCTTCATTTAGCCGCGGATCAAGGACACGACGAGCTGATCCGGGAACTCTACGCCAGCTTCGGGGACAAGAGCTTGCTCTCTTCCTCCAACTCGGCTCAGGACACGCCGCTGCACTGCGCGGCGAGGGCTGGGCATGAGAAGGCCGTGTCTCTCCTCGTCCAGCTTGCTATGGACACTGGAGACCAGAGCATCTTGTGCTGTAAGAACGAGGCTGGGGACACGGCCCTGCATCTAGCGGCAATGTTCGGCCATGGGGCGGCAGTTGAGGCTATGGTCTCCGCGGCGCCAGGGCTGGCCTCTGAGGTTAACAACGCTGGCTTGTCGCCGCTCTACTTGGCAGTGATGAGCAAGTCGGCACCCGCCGTCAGAGTGATAACGACCAGATGCAGCGACGCGTCGGCTGCTGGCCCGAGCTTGCAGAATGCTCTGCACGCCGCAGTCTTCCGGGGCTCAGGTCAGCTAGTGACGAGTTCCTCTTCCTCCTTGGTTTGTACTAGTAGACTCTGAAAGTTTATGCTGATTTGTCAACCCTTGACTGATATATATGCACCGTCCCTGGATTGGTTAGATATGGTTAGCCTGTTACTGGATTGGAAGCCATCTGGCCCATCCCTGGCCAGCAAAGCCGATGTCACTGGCAGCACTCCACTTCATTTCGCTTCGTCTGATGGCGACCGCTCCGTCATAGGTGCCATCCTGCAGGTCGCACCGCGTGCGGTGCGCATGCAGGACACGGAGGGCCTGTCTGCTCTCCACGTGGCGGCGCGAATGGGCCACGCCCATGTTGCCGAGGCGCTGATGAAGGCCTGCCCTGATGCCGCCAAGCTCCGGGACAACCGCGGCGAGACCTTCCTGCACGCCGCGGCCAAGGGAGGCCACTCCAAGGTCGTGTCGCTTGCCATGAAGAAGCCGACGCTCCGCAGCCTTCTGAACAGGCATGACCAGGATGGCAATACGCCGCTCCACCTCGCGGTGACCGCACGCGCACCCACCGTCGTGGAGGCCTTGATGAGGCACGGAGGAATGCATGCTGACGTCATGAATAATAACGGGCACACGCCGTTGGATCTCGCAGCTAGATCGACCAGCTTCCTCTCCATGGTAAGCATATATACTCATTGAGGACACCCGTGGCTAGTTACTTCGATTGTCTATATGAGCATTGGACTAAAGTTTTGGACGAGTGCGGTGCAGTTGGCCATGGTGGTGACACTCACTGGTTTCGGGGCGCAATCTCGCCCTCAGAGGCAGGACCAGGTGGAGCAATGGAAGGGCCATGACATAGCACAGGCGATCGAGAAGATGTCGAAGAGCCTCATGGTGGTGGGTGTGCTCATCGCCACTGTGACCTTCACCGCCGCCAATAACGTGCCCGGTTCTTACGAGAAAGGTTTGGCAGTGCTACAGGAGAAGAGCTACTTCCAATGGTTCCTGATCCTCGACAGCTTGGCCCTGGTTGCCTCCGTGCTCGCGGTGGTCCTTCTGGTATCCGGGAAGGCCACGCGATCCGCCGGGTCGTGGAAGAGCTTCTCGGCGGCGCTGCACTTCATATGGGTGTCGCTGATCAGCATGTTCCTTGCCTTTTACACAGCTCTCGCTGCCGTGACAAGCACACAGCTGGTTTACGTCATCTTCGTCATCATATACTTCGCCTTCCACGGAGTACTGTACATCACGTTCATCGCATTTATCGGGCCGGTGTGGACCCGCACATTTGGGAAGGCTATTTGGTGCACCGTCTTTAAAGGAAGGCGTCTCAAGCAGCAGTATCCATTCGCCCGCACTTACGCAATCCACCTGATTCTTTTCATGGCAATATATAACCTGCTGTCTATCGTTTTCATCATATTCTACATCAAAAGCGGACCATTCTGGGACACAGAGGGGAGCCATCCTCTGGCACCTGCGCCTGCACCTGCACCTTCCTCTATCCTCCCCTAGCTAGGAGGAGCAGGATCCAAATTGGAAGTACTTGTAGATGCTAAGATAAGACCATTGTACATGCTCTAAAGTGAAACTAAATACTCCCTCTGTATTGAAATAAGACTTGAGTGTCACAAAATGTCTTACATTTTAAGACGAAGGGGGTAGCATGAATGTGCACTTTTTGCTTAGGATGAATATTTGGCTGGTTAAATTTTGGGGTGGAGTCAGATCATTGCTTCGTGCTCATGGAGCTTAAAGAGCAAGTGTCCGCGTACAGAACAAGAGGAGCGAAACCTTTCCGCTACGAGGAAGTATGGCAAACCCATGCAAACTACGACCAGATGGTTTTGGAAAACTGGCAAAGGGGGTCGGGTAAGCAAGGTTTGGCTGCTGTGCTCACTGCACTTCATAACATGCAAGAGTCATTATCTGCATGGGGTGCGAGAGAGTTTGGCAGCCTCACTGCCACCATCAAGAAACTTCGGGCAAAGCTGGACCGCCTGTGATGTTAGTCTGTTGGTCGAGGCCCATCAGATGAAGAGAAGGCCACTGTAAAAAAGTTGAGAGAGGTTCTTCATTAGGAAGAGATATGAATGCGCCAGAGGTCGAGAGTACCCTGGTTGCGTCATGGCGACCGCAACACAAAATTCTTTCATGCCCAAGCGGCCATGAGAAGACGCATAAACAAGATCGAAAGACTTGTACGTGATGATGGCTCTTAGGAGGACGACCAGAGTGAAGTCCAACAGTTTTACCAAGCCCTATACACGTCGTAGGGTTTCAACCCCATGGATGGGCTAATGGACTTGGTTCCAACCCGCGTGTCTAATCAAATGAACGCGCACATTGACATGGCCTATACTGAACAGGAGGTCAAAACCGCGCTGTTTCAAATGGCGCCATCAAAAGCACCGGGAGTGGACGGCTTCACCGCAGGATTCTTTCAGAGGCACGGACAATCCTAAAAGATGACATTGTACCGGCGGTGTTGGGATTTCTAAATGGGGGTGAACTACCGGAGGGGATGAATGATACATCTATCACACTAATTCCTAAGGTACAACATCCTCAAAGTATTAAGCAATATAGACCCATCTCCCTTTGTCCTGTTTTGTACAAAATAGCAGCAAAGTGCATTGTCAACAGGATAAGAGGTTTTCTGAACGATATCGTGAGTGAGGAGCAAAGTGCCTTTGTACCGGGATGACTCATCACTGATAACGTGCTTATGGCACATGAAAGCGTGCATGCACTGAAAAGAAGGAAAAAAGGAAAGAACTTCGGTTGTGCTGTCAAACTGGACATGATGAAAGCATATGACCCCGTTGAATGGCATTATCTCGAGGCCATCATGTCTAAGTTAGGCTTCAGTGCCTCCTTTGTTCGGCTAATCTTGAAGTGTGTTTCGTCAGTCCGATTTGCAGTTCACGTCAACGGTGAGCTCTTGCCATTCTTCACCCCCTCCAGGGGGTTGCGACAAGGTTGCCCGGTGTCACCTTACCTTTTTCTTCTCTGTGCAGAAGGCTTCACAACTCTACTCAACAGTTTTGGTGGAGCTCAGGTAGACAGAGGAATTCGGGTTAGCATCCACTCACCTCGGGTAAACCATCTGCTATCCGCAGATGACAGTCTCATTTTCATGAATGCAAAGGTGGAGAGTGCTGCTAGGTTAAACCATATGCTGGATACTTATGGATTTTGCTCGGGCCAACGTGTGAACAAGGACAAAAGCTCCATCTTATTCAGCCCAAACACGCCTGATCCGGTTAGAGCTGCCCTGAAAGCAACTTTGGGCGTTTCGGTCGAGGCTTTCATCGAGAGATACTTGGGCCTGCCGACTGCACTGGGTCGGATCACTTCCGGGACCTTTGCCTACATTGGCGAACGGGTGCGATCGAGGATGAATGGCGGGACTGAGCGCTTGGTTTCTTGCGCGGCAAGGGAAGTCTTGCTTAAGTCAGTTGCCCAGTCCATTCCAACATTTACAATGAGCTGTTTCAAGTTAACCAAGAAAGTCTACAAGAGCATCTCGTCGCCGATGGCAAAATATTGGTGGAGCAGTTCCATTGATCGCAAATCTCTCCACTGGATAGATTGGAAGTCCTTGTCACTTCCCAAGATCAGAGGAGGAATGGGTTTTCGCGACTTGGAATGTTTCAATATTGCGCTTTTGGGCAAACATGGCCGGAGAATGATGATAAACCCGAAGTCCTTGTGCTCTAGGGTTCTAAAAGGACGCTATTTCCCAAATTCTAATTTTATGAGTGCTTCTGTGCCATGAAACGCCTCCACAACATGGAAGGGTATCATGGCTGGTAGGAAGGCACTAGAAGCCGGCTTGCTATGACGAATTTGTGATGGTACTTCTGTGAAAATTTGGACTGACCGGTGGCTACCTGGAAAGCTTTCTCTGCAGCCCTCAGTTCAGATCGGGAGCGCCAACCTTTACACAGTTTCAGACCTTATCGATACAGACAACTGGAGCTGGAAAGTTGATCTTATAAGGAGTAATTTCAAACCACCTGATGCGGATGCAATCCTGAACCTACCTCCTCGGCAGGGTGGTGGCGACGATTTCTGGGCGTGGGCTCATGAAAGGTCGGGATCCTATACTGTAAAATCTGAGTATCGTGCTCGAATGACCTGTAACGAGCAGCTGGCTCTAGGGGAAGGGACGACTACAGAATCTTTTGAGAATGACAAACCGTTATGGACTCGGCTATGGAAGCTCAAGGTGCTACCCAAAGTCCGCGTCTTTTGGTGGCGGGTTCTTCGCGACATCTTGACGGTCGAATCAACATTGAAATACAGGCATATAGCAACTATGTCCCGATGCAAAATCTGCAAGGGTGCAGACGAAGACATGGTGCACGCTCTCATTAAGTGTTCCCATGCTCAAAGTTTTTGGACAGAAGCTAGGAAATGGCTCAATGTCAAACTGCCACAATTACATCCGACCACTTGGTGCAAGGACATTTTGTGTGACACACGCATCAATGAAGGGGACCGGCCGAAGATCATCACTGTTATGTGGGCTATATGGACTTCTCGTAATAACATAACACATGACAGAGAGAGCTTGCATCCAGGCCAGTCCCTGAAGCGGATCCAAGAAGCCCTAATGCTGTTGGAGCTTCCCGAAGAACATACTAGGATCATACCTGGTTATGGTTGGAGACCACCCGACCTAGAGTGGCTCAAGATAAACACAGACGCTAGCGTCTCACTAATTGAAAACAGAAGCGGAGCGGGGGGCCTTGCTCGAACCTCATCCGCCTTTGTTGCTGCCTAGAGCAAGCCGCACCATCATGTCACAGATCCGCTCATCGTAGAAGCCCTGGCTTTACGAGACAGGGTTATTTTTGGCAAGCTTCGAGGTTCTTCGCGAGTGGTGCTCGAAGTAGATTGTCTAGAGCTGGTACAACTTTGGAACTCGCGACAATTTTTGCGCTCTGTCATAGCGCCTATTCTTCTCGAAATTGAAGGGCTAGCCTCAACTTTCCTTAGTTTTGATGTTCATCATGTACCGAGACAAGCTAACAATTCAGCGCACCTCTGTGCAAAGCATGCTAGCACATTGGGAGTGACTGATTGTTGGATGGACTCTCCTCCCGATTTCCTAGTAACGAGCCTTATGGCTGATCACGCTGGAGCCGCTTATGTTTGAATAAAGCTCTATGTTTCCCGCAAATTTTTTTGGGGTGGAGTGTGCTTTCACGCGATTTGATTGACTCAATTGCTTTGTAGTGTGTGCTCGCGCTTTTAGTTTCTACCAGCACACACAGAAAGAAGGGGCCTTTGGTCGGGGTGGACGCTGCAAAATAAGTGCCTGCCGAAGGATGGGGATTACTGCCGAAACTGGGGAGGATCGGTGAGTATTGATACCAAATGTTATGCGCTGGCTAGGGTTCTCAGTCTCTCCTAGATACAAGCTTGATTACAAAAGGGGAAATTCGAAGAAGAAGAAGGAATAGAGAGGAATAATTCTCTGGTTCTGGACGAACCCCTCATCCTTCCTTTTCCCCTACTTAGCTTGGGACTCGCTGTTGGTCCTCACTTGGGCTTGCTAGGCTCTGTCGAGCTGGCGGCTGCGTCTTGAGGCCTTGGGCCTTATTCCTTTGTTGGGCCACCACATGACATCCCCCCCCTTGCGGCGCGGCTTGTCCCCAAGCCGACAGAGTAGGAAACCTGCGTTGCAGAACAAAAGCTTCCTCCCATGAGTCATGATCTGTAGTTCTATCAGTCCAACGTACGTTGAGACGAGGTTTCAGCTTCCCCCTCATTGGAAAAACTTCACTTGCACCACAATGTCCGGCCGAAGAAGTCTAGGTGATTTAGGAGCCACCATTGAGACGTCTTGTTCGCTGGTCACTTTGGAAGGCACTTGTTTCTTCAGTTGCGAAACGTGGATCATGTTATGAATTCTTGAATTTGCTGGAAAATCAAGTTTGTATGCCACAGATCCAACACGGCTCAGTACCGTGTAAGATCCATAGTACTTCAGTGATAGCTTCTGATTACGACAAGCAGTTCATGAATTTTGTAGATAGGGCTGAACCTTGAGAAAATCCTGACCCCGAACCTGGAAGGAGCGCTCGCTGCGACTTTTGTCTGCTTGTTTCTTCATTCGTTGTTGAGCTTTCTGTAAGTGTTCCTGGAGGAGCTCTGTCATGGTTTCTCTTTCCGTGATCAGCTCCTGTAGGTCTCCACTGGTGGCTGGGGCAGAGATGCCAAACGGACGGGGCTCATACCCGTATAGAGCTTCGAACGGGGTGAGGCCAGCCACAGTATGGTACGTTGTATTGTACCAATGTTCTGCGAGAGCAAGCCATTTCACCCATTTGGTTGGGGCATAACCTCTCTGTCTGGCCATTCGTTTCACGGTGACGGGCCGAGCTCATATTCAGAAGTGTGTCTGACAGACGGAACAACTGTTGCCAAAATAAGCTAGTGAAGACGGGGTCTCGATCTGAGATGATGCAAGCAGACATACCATGAAGGTGATAGACGTGGTC